CCCGGGGGGCGCCGGGGAAGGGCCCGCTCCGCCGCCCTCCTTCCCTTCCTCCTCCTTCTCGGCCGAGGCGGAGGAAGGCGAGGAGTCTCCTTCATCATCATCTTCCTCCTCCTCTTCCTCCTCCTCCTCCTCGGGCCCGGCGGAGCTGGAGTGCCCGCTGTGCCTGGTGCGCCAGCCGGCGGGCAACGCGCCGCGCCTCCTCTCGTGCCCGCACCGCTCGTGCCGGGCCTGCCTCCGGCAGTACCTGCGCATCGAGATCACCGAGTCCCGCGTCAACATCAGCTGCCCCGAGTGCAGCGAGCGCCTCAACCCGGCCGACATCCGCCTCCTCCTGCGCGACTCCCCGCAACTGGTCGCCAAGTACGAGGAGTTCATGCTCCGCCGCTGCCTGGCCGCCGACCCCGATTGCCGGTGGTGCCCGGCCCCGGACTGCGGGTGGGTGAGCGAGCAGCCAGCCGGGGGTACAATAAGGAAGGATCGTGGGGTATGAGGGATGAAGGGGGATCGGCGGGGATAAGGGATGGTCGGATGTGGCGGATCGTGGGCTATGAGGGATGTGGTGGTGGTGGGGAATCAACAGGTGCAAGGGATTCTTGGGTATAGAGAGTGCTTCCAGAAGTCTTTTCTTCTGCAACACTTACCACATGCCCCCTAGGCCCTGGGACTGCAGGGATGGATCGTCAGGTATCAGGGGTTGTGGGATGGGCAAGGGGTTGCTTCCAGAAGGCTTACTTTTGCAGCCCTTACTACACATCCTAGGCCATGGACTGCACGAATTGTGGGGTATAGGAGATCATGGGGGTCTTTGCAACCCATACTTCACAGAGCATCTTGCTCCAGTGTCCACTGCCCACCCCCATCTTGCTCCAGTGTCCAATGCACACCCCCATCTTGCTCCAGTGTCCAATGCCTACCCCATCCTCTGGGTAACCACCCTGAGAGAGGCCCATAAATCTTCTAGGAGAGAGAGGGCCTTCTTCAAGGTGGCCCCATCTTTGGGGAATCAGCTCCTGGAGGAGTTTCACCTGGCCTCCTCCCAAGCTATATTTAAGAGGAGACTGAAGACATGGCTCTTCAGGGAGACCTTCCACTACAAACCTAGTTGAGGCACTTATACCTTTCTGTTCAGTTATTTGTTATTTTGTATTTTTATTATTTTTTTCTGTTTTAGGCAGCTTTATTAATGCTCTGCCCCCTCTATTTTTATATGGATAGGTTGTTCATGGTCTTATCATTCTGTATTCTACGCAAATTGCCCAGAGTAGTGCTGTGGCACTAATGGGTGCAGTAGACTAAATTGAAATATTAATACCAGACACCCTTAAGAGGTAGGCTAGCCTGGATTTCACCCACACAGATAATACACACAGTGCACACGAAGCCAGCAGTTAAAGTGAGCCTGCCAGCTCTTCCTGATGCTTTTATGGCTTTTCAAAGTTGCTCTCATGGATGGAGTGGGGGACAAGGACTCAGGAGACCGTGGAAAGTCACAGGGATGGATAGCAATGATTAAAACACTTGAACTTCTCTCACACACCTTGAGAGAAACGACTAGGGTCACCCTAAGGCAGAAGTGACTTGATGGCATGTAAGACATTTTGCAGTTGTTTTAAGATGTCTCTTTGAGTTAGGCAACTGGCTGCACAGCTAGGGTTTTGGGGGAGTTTGATTCCCCACTAGGCAACTCAAAAAAAGTCAGCCTGTGTTGCCTTGGGCAAAACTGCACAGTCCCATGGCACCCCCCAGCAGAAAGGAATATTAAACTACTCATGAGTATTTTCTACCTGGAAAAGCCTGAAAAGGTTGTGATGAGTCAGAATTGACTTGGTGGCACATGATTAAACTGACTTGATAGCTCAGTGGATTAGGTATTTGGCTGCAGAGCCAAACGTTGGGAGTTCAGTTCCCCCACTGTGCCTCCCTGTGAGTAAGAGCCAGCCTTTGTATGAAGTGTACCAAGTGTTCATCATTATTGCTCTCTTCCCACTGTCATTCTCCACAAGAAAATGCAACTCCATGTTCGCTTGCACTGCTGAGAGTTTTTTTATTGACTAAGCCTTCCAGGGTGATGTATATGCACGCTGCTTTATGCAGAAAAGATACAAAATGTGACTTGCTACTGGGCAGATTTAAACTTGTGTATAAGTCATGGTATTTGTTTCCTTATCCATTTCCCTTGCATATCTTATTTAAATACTAATGTCTACTTGGGACTGGAATTAGTGTTGGAAAGAAGAGAGAGAGAGAGATGATCCTCAGAAGTTACCATTAGTAATCATAAGTAAAACTGTATATTTTGCAGAATGGAACTCATGTACTCTGATCAGATATTGACTTGGCTTTTGGGTTCTGCTTATTTCTCTTTTCCTGAGAAGTCTGTTTTTGAAACGCGGGTCTTTCCCAGTTTGCAAGAACTGTTGAATCATTGTGATTCAGCCTTTGGTTAACGGCCCATCCCTTGATAATAGTCAAAATGAGATGATAAACTAACACAGCTCCCCTTTTTTCACTTTCACTTCTGTTTTCTTGTAAATCAGCCTCCTCAAAGTTTCTCTGGCGCAACATAGAGAATACAAGGGAGGAGCTATCACAGGTTCTTCATCATTTGTGTATCAAACATGAAACTTGGGTGTGGAAGTGGTGCATTAAAAGTATTCCTGGGGTTATAGTGTTGATATTGCTTCACCTTCTGCAGATTCCTGTCAGGCATACTTTCTGTTAGGGAACATTTGTATTGGGCAGCCTAAAGGTACACTTCCTCATGAGAGTATTGTGTTTAATTCTGACATTTCCATCTCCTCATGGTACTGGAGATCAAACTTGAAACTAGACAAGAGTATTCCACCCCAAATCTAGTGCCACAAAATACTATAGGAGAAAGTTCCTGCTTTATTAAATTAGCTAGAATAGGGTAATCATATACCATAGTCATAGACTGGATAGCAAACTAGTTAGTGCAATACTGCGGCCTTGTATAAGCATATCCAGCTTGTTTGTGTTAATACTACTGCTATGGTAACATTCTGAAGATTAGTATGTGTTTTTAGCTTTTAGTAAGATAAAAAGTATCCCATCTGGTCAGTCTGTTTTCTGAGTGTACCGATTCAAAAGATGTTATACTGTATACTGTACGCTAGAACAACAAATATAATATGCTACACTATCAGTGCAGTATAATAATCATGTGGCATCAAGGGTTTTCAGGGTTATACATTGAAAAAAAGCTGTAGCACTGTGTACTCTTTCGTAAGCCAAGGAGGTTGATCTCACAAATATTTCAAGGAAGGAGGGTTGTTTTTTTTAAAAAAAGAATTGTGTGTTGCATTGGATGTAGGGTCTAAATCAGACTAGTGGGGCTCTCCTGGTGTCATCACATGGCAAGTCCTGGCATTCCCTGCCTTTGGCTAGGCTGGCCCCAGCTGCTTGGGGAAGAGCATTAGCCCAGCTACCTAGGGGTAGCAACACATTCCCTGCCTTTGGCCTCAACAGGAAATACACGGGCTTACAGATATCTAGAAAAGACACTGCAGGCATGATTCTTTCATATTATTTTGCATCACAATGGGAGAATTGGTGTGTTAAAAAAGCCCCAAGAACATAGATAATGATGAGTATCCTCATAGCGTGATGGGCTACTTTCAGGTGTTGCTGGTCTCCAGTCCCCAGCATTCTTCACTGTTGGCTATGCTGATGAGGGATGATTGGAGTGGCAAACCTACACCATCCGTCCACTTCTTCTCTACAGTAATAATGGGGAGGGATGTACAGGAAGTAGTGTTGCTCTGTATGTAATACAGGAGATAGAATGGACTGAACTAGAAGTGTTAGACAGGCTGACCCCATGCTATTGTTATGTGTGATGACATCACACAGTTCTAGAGAACATAGCCCTGTGTGAGGAAAGGAGAAGAAACTTTTCTGTAGAGAGGAAAGTGGAACAAAGGATCTTGAGAGCAGAAGGTGGGAAAGTGAAATCTTCCCCAAGTGGTTGGGAATTATTCAAGCCTGTGTTTTCTCTGCTTGCTTCTTGGTGGCCCTCGTATCCTGTCTTTCCTCTCATGATGCCAAGGTGGCATATAATAAGGCCATCCTCTTCTATGCTGTATCTTTGCAACAGTGCTGGGAATGAGGTCAGGCAGAGAGACCGGGACAGGCCTAAGGTCCCTCTGAGAAATTGCCACTGGTGATTTGAACCCAGGTCTCTTCCTCCACAGAACTTCATCTAGCATGCATGTTGCATGTCAGGAAATACAAATGTTACAAGAATGTGATGGAAGCTGTTAGAGAGGGGTTGGAAAGGGGCTTTTAAGATGTATTGGAATATTAAGGAAGGACAAGGAGATTGCAGGGAAGCTAAATCCATCCTCGTTGCCTGTTTTCCCTGCAGAAGATGGGCAGGCATCCATGTCCAAGGGGAGATTTCCAGGTGAGGCGCATGGAGAGATGGCCAGGAGTGGAGACAAGAGAGGAGGCTTAGATCTTTCCAGTAGATCACAAACAGAGCAATCATCACCATGTCCAGATGGTATCTATCTGAGAATTTTTGAAAAAACTTCAGTGTGAAATGGCTGATCTTCCGCTAAACAATTGGAACATGTTTGTAAGCTGAGTCACTGTGTCAGACGTGTGGTCAGCATCACCGTGGGTGGTGGGTCCAGGAAATAACAGACTGACTGGCTAGCTTGTTGTGGGTAAGTGGTTGGAAACCGTTCTGGCAAGTAAATTTCCCCTCTAAAACAGGCATTGTGATGTAACAGCTGCTGGGTAACTCGGTAGTTTAGGTCTCTGGCTGCTGGACCAAAGGTTGGGAGTTCAATTCCCCATTGTTCCTCCTTGATGGGGCCTGGACTTTAATAATAATAATA